ACTGTCATCAGGTGTCTGGATGCTGCAGGTGAGGCGATAGCAGCATTTCCCTGACTTTCATGGGGCTGTCCGGGGGTGGCTGCCCTTTTAGGCTGCTCCTGTTAAGAGAGCCTGCCATGGGGGCTTCATGTTCCCAGGTGATTTGTCTTCACTCTGAAACTGATGTTATCTGGAGGGAGGAACGCGTGCTTCGCTCTTTGTGCAGGTGACGACATAACTTGGAGGCCTTGACTGCATTTTGACAAATGGTTATGTCGCTGCCGAGTGCTGTATTCATACTTTCCTCCTGTTGGTTTGTTAGGTGCGTTACTTACCATGGGTTTTTCCTACTCTTCCCAGAAACTACTACATGCTGTATTAAATGCGTGTCTATGGTTTAATTGCAAAAAATCTGCATTCCGCTTGTGAATTAAATTAGAGGCTTTTCTGTCAGGTTCATTTTACTAGCGTGGCTGCATTGCAAATCAGCCCACGTAAGGAGGGTGAAAAGGAACCGAACAGCTACTCCGTACTGCAGATCTCACTGAATATATGCAGCGGGGGCAACTCAAAGGTATCTACCAGGCCCAGAATATTTCTTTTTCGTGTACTTTCAGAAGTGTGGGGGACTTAGGAAAGCGGCCCATCATATTCTCCCCGACTTCAATGACAAGGAAGTCAGGCTGATTGCAAACATCCCTGAAAAGCTCACACCTTATGTAAAAGAGCTGGGTATCAGATGAGTAGGAACTTCAAAATGCTTTAAACAGGCATGGCAAAGTGAAACACGCCCACTGTGCTTGTTCTGTGAGACAGCAAACTTCTTCCATCGAGTTTCCAGAGGCTGAGGAATTTGCGAGATGGTGTGATGGGGTGGGGAGAGAAGGGGAGGAAAACCAGCCGACTGCACAGCCTCTAGCACACAGGCTGCACCAGGGAGGTAGCACCAACGGGGGTACTACGGCTCCCACCCTTCTCCCTGCCCAACGCCTTGCCTCCCCAAAGAGCATGCCAGATCTGAGCAAGGTGACTCATGTGCAAACGTGCCTTATTATTAGGACGTGCTGAATTGGAGCAATTAGCCATGGAAAGGTCATTCTGGCTAAGGAAACCTTCCAGTGAGACCACGCTGGATGTAACTGCTTTTCTGTTCTCCTGCCCCCCACAGCATCGCCAGGAGAAAAAGGTTACAGTCCATGAGCTGTGGAAATTCATGCTCAATACCTTGCCTTCTTGGGGCAGTGGGCAGCTGCAGCAATAATGTGCCAAGCGCACATGGCCAGCACAGACCCGCAGCTGCAAAAATGTCCGATTTCCCCTGTGTGGGCTGTCTGGAGCACTCCACAGCTGCAGCCAAAAATTATGGCCTGAGTGTTGTTTTCTGGCCACTGAAGAGGTATCTTCATATGCTACATGTTCATTGACCAGTGAAAACAAAATGATTGACATAATAAAAGACATGGGAAAACATAAGGAATCAATATTTCTAAGGGTCATTCATTGATGGTATCAGTTGACCCACACTGCACCGCAATGAACAGCCATGTCAGGATTTGCCCCTACGCTAGCTAGCTACAGGTAGGGCTGTAGCTCTCTGTGCGTGTATGTGTGTTTGATTCCTCTAATCCTATCCCCTATGTGATTTCTGTGATGACTGTTACAGTGTTTGATATTTTTCTAAGACAGGTCTAAGGAAGAAGGTATTAATAGGTAATAATTTTCCATTCTTAATTTCTGGTACCTAATTAAGTGTATGTCAGAGGTAAACTTATGTTCAAGTTTTAGTGTGCTTGTGGGATAATCCATATAGGGCCATAATTCACTTTAAACTAGGCAGCCTGGGAACAATCTAATTTTGGACAGCCCAGTCTTAACGTGGCCTGTAAAACCAGTCCTAGAAAGAGGATGAAGTAACACGTATGACAGAAGCAGAGACATGTCTTCACAGTGAAGTGACACTAAATTACACTGATTTTAGTCAAACTTTCCTGGTCTCCTTTCCAAACTTTGCTATTCTAAACTGACACAACTTGGAAGTGGAAGATCTGGTCTTCCACTCAGACAAATGGACTAACATGAGCCCGGAGCCAATGGCATTTGGTCAGAGTAAAAACCAGTATTTTTTTTTAAATTAAGCCTTTTCTGGAAAGTTTTGGGTTGCTCAGAAGTTTACAATTTGAACATCCTTACTGATTTCAAGTTTGCTAGTAAAACTCAATCCCAACGCAAAGAGACTAGCATCTCTGTCTTTTTACCACAAAACCAGTATTTTCCATGTTTTCCCAGCTTTAGCTTCCCTCCTGCTTTCTTCCTCCTTTGAACTGTACAACTAATGCAGTCTTATGTACATTCACCACTATTATCTGTAGAGTACTGTCAGAAAATACATTTAAGTTACTACTGCCAACTGCTTGCCTTTGTTGTCATTAACAATCTTCATTTAATAAAAAGCTTTTATCAAAAATGGTTTTCCTGTAGTACTTTTGTTTTTCCCAGAAAAGGCATTAAAATTAATTTGTTTTCTCTTGGTCTGTATTCTTCAGTGAATACAGCAAGGAACAAAAAAGATAAACATGTGAGAGAAACCCCAAAGAGAAGGTAATGTAGAAAGAAACAATTCTGTTCTAAAGTAGAATATTTTTTTTTCACTTTTGAAAGAAAAAAAATGATTGAAGACTGGTAGAAAACATCACATTGCAACTGTGCTTTTGGTGTACAAGGAAAACACTTCCCTTCTCCACAGCTCCCTGTGGCTTCTCTACTGGGTGAGGCGGAAGGTAATCCTATGCAGAAAGATTTAACCTGAAGGTTAGGGATGATTCATGAGATCTTCTGCTGGAAATATATTGGACTCTCTACCGATGCTGTGCACTTCACTAACCTTCCTAAAGAAGTGCTGCTGTTTCCCTTGCATGTTTTTCACATACAGTCTCTGCCCACACTGCCTTAAACCTTGGAGGAACAGTTTATTATTGGTATCAGAAGAGTATTAAGACATTTCAACCGCCCTGCTATGTAATGAGCCACACAAACTAAACGGGAGATACCAATTCTGGAGGATAAATGAAGTGAAGAGACACTAACTCTTCACTATTGTGTTTTGACGATGGTTACTACCCCAAATGAGAAGTGGTGCCATTAGTTGCAAGGGGCCTATGAGGATTCTGCACGAAGCCGCAGCTAGGCTGGTTTGCAAATCCCAGACAGGCACATTGGCACATATATGTTATAAAATGCATTGGATCCACTTTCTGAAGATCCTCGCTCTCTAATGACAGCTGCCAAAACTGAAAGTTATGTTTTATGAGTATGCCAGCTGTCTCCTGTGCAATGGTTGTCAGGTACATAAAGACATATTGAAAGGATATCGGGGAATCACGTGAATGTGCAAAGAACAACGGGGGATGCTGAAAAGCTTCACTGCTGAAGTACGGCAGTGTTGCATGCCCTGCAATGACCCTTTTGGAATTTGCGCAGCTTGCTTTCCTTCCTTCCTTCTCCTTCCCTTCCCTTCCTTTCTTTTCCCTTCCCTTCCCCGTTTCAAATTTTTGGCAAAAAAAGAAAAAAATGAAAGAATTTTCACTGAAGTGACAGTTTTTGAAATCAGAACATTTTGGACCAATACCAATTCAGATAGCGAATGCTGCACAAGCGCTCCATGGGAGCTGTACGGGGAGTGCCTCCTAGACACATTCCGACCGAACACACCGCCCATGCTGTTCCACGAGCCTCTGTTTCAGGGAGGAGACATGATATGTTATGGGAATTTCATGGTCTGATGCATTGTGGAGTATGAAATACGGCAGGGGAGATCCACTCCATCTATGAGAATAAAGACATTAAGCAACTGAAGTACAGCTCCTCGGAGACAGTGTGATGGCATACCAGAATTGAAGTATTTGAGTTTCAGCTAACTATTTTATCCATAAACTCATTTTTCTGTAAAAAGCAGTTCTAATTAAAAAAATATATTCAAGAACAGCTTTATGTAAAATGGAGGAACATGACGTAGCATGGTTGCCGTTCTCTGGAACAGGCTTTGGAGGCGATCTGGAATGCATCCTGCCTTATTAACAAGGAAAATGTTACTTCCATTAAAGAAAGAAACAACCCTTCCCCCCCAAGCTATCCGTGAGAAACTCTCAGTGTATTTTCTGTTTGAAATTTAAATTTGAGTGTAATACCACCCACTGTATGAAATGAATGTGATTAAAATGATGGTTCCTTTTATTTTCAATTAAAATACTTTTTAAGTGTTTAACTTTCCTCACTAAATGCAAATGCAGGTGCATAATACAGCACTGGGAAACCAGAAAGTGGAAACCCACTGACCTAGTTTCACCATCCCGGCGGACTAAGATGCAAAAAACCCAAACAAAAACACGTAAAAGCACCCCACCCCCCGCTCCCCCAAGCCTGCCAGGGCCCCGAAGTAAAATGTGCTGTATAAAAGTCACAAAATTAAAAACATTAAAAATTAATTCGTGCAGGAAACGGCAAATGTGGTGGGGTTTGCCCCGTCCGTGACCCCGGTTCCAGAGTTATTTTGGGGGGGAACCACGTTCAGAAGGTACCGCACCCCAGGAGGCGGGAGGGAGGGAAGGGGACTACGCAAAGCTTTGGGCCTGAGGTAAATTTTGAGAGATTTGCGAGGAAGCCGCCAACGAATTCCGAAAAATTCAATTAAATGGATTCGTATTTCGTTCTACTTCGGTCCCAAAGGCCGCAAACCCAGACTGGCCCGCGGCTTCTGGGCCCGCACCGCCGCGCCTCCCGCACTCCCGGGGCTCCTGAGGAGGAAGGCCAGGGCCCGCCTCCCTCCGGTACCGCCCGGGCGGGCTATAACACGGGGGGAACGGGCGGCGGGGC